ACAATATATAGAATGCATGGAATACAAGTACAGATGCTTACAACAAAAAACACAATTAAAATATGTAACAGAGAACAGGCTTTTGCTTAAATCCTGGACCAGAGGATCATCTTGCAAATCTTCTGGGACACTGGGCGCTCCAACGTCACCTGATGTTGCTTCCTTGTTTCTTCGACTTCCATTGGGGCAGCAGTTCAGTGCAGTAAGCCTGACAACAGTGTCAAAGATTAGCAGTACCTGGAACAGGCACTGGCATTCTGAAACCTCTAATAAGGTCCTGTCCATACGAGGCCTTTTGGGCCGGGAGCGGGACGGAACGGGGGCGGAGCAAACGGGCATGATCCCACGGCAACATCTGGGAATCGTTGCCCGCCCGTACCTGTTCCATCCCTAACGGCGATACCGTGCTGTAAAAAAGAACCACCTACCTAAGTGGTTGTATCCCTTCCAGCGCCGCAAGCTGGGTCGTGGGATCGGGCGGCTCATTCTTGCGCCGCCGCATCCCGGCCCCCGGCCGTACTGCGCATGCTCGAGCATACGCAGTTCGGCAGCCTCCCCCTCCCATCGGACTTTCCTCCCCGGCATCTGATCGTGCCGGGGAACAATGCGGCATGGCTGAGGGGATCCGTGGGATCCCGCCGCGGCGTCTCAAGTTCGGTGCAGCTCTGCTTAGCCGCAATTCAGCCATCCCGTGTGGCAGCAGCCTTAGATTAGTTATTTTGCCATTACACATCTGGAACATAGAGAAGAAACAGATTAAACTGATAATCATCTGAACATTCTCTTTTAACACTGAATTCCTGATTTTTACAACTGTCCCTTGCTATGCCATCTGGAAAGCCTGCTATGCATAAAAATCACGGTGTGTGATAGCCAGTAAAACAGTAAATCACCGTGTACAAATAAACAATATAAGTTGATTTTTATCTGCAATGTTTTAGAATTCAATTATAAACAAAATTACAACCATAACATTATAATACGCAATATAAAGCTTAGCAGTACATATAGAATACTACAGTGCTAGTTTCAGACAAACGACGGAGTTCTAGTACACTGTCCCTTTGCGAGTCCTTCTTCAGGTTTGTCATTCTGTACTTATACCTTCATTAGAATGAAGTGCTGCAAGCCATATTTCAAAATGTTAATTCTTATACAATTTTGATAAGAACATAAGAACATAAGAGATGCCAATGTTGGATCAGGCCAAAGGCCCATCCAGTCCAACACTCTGTATCACACAGTGGCCAGAAATACCAGTGCCATCAGGAGGTCCACCAGTGGGGCCAGGACATTAGAAGCCCTCCCACTGTTGACCCCCCCCCCAGCACCAAGATGACAGAGCATCACTTGCCCCAGAGTCCCTATCTATACCTTGTGGCTAATAGCCACTGATGGACCTCTGCTCCATATGCTTATCTAATTCCCTTTTGAAGCCGTCCATGCTTGTAGCCGCCACCACTTCCTGTGGCAGTGAATTCCAAGTGTTAATCACTTGGAATGTACGCTACCGCGCTTATTCTTGTGACTGGGGAGCTCCTATAGCAAGCTCTAATGTGACTGGGTCTACAATATATCATAATTGGCTAAGCTTCCCTCCCCTAATGATGCCAGCACATGACTAATTATGGGGACAGGGTAAGAGTGCTGCTGCAGAGCCTTGTTGATTGTGCATTTGTAATCAGCACATATTCGGATAGACCCGTCTGGCTTTACTAGTGTCACAACAGAGGTTTCCCATTTTGAGTGTGATACCGGTTCTAACACACCTTGAGCCACGAGCTTGTCCAGCTTGGACTCTATACACGACTTCAGGGAAATTGGGACCTTGCGATACTTTAGCCGTATAGGCGCTAGGCGCTACTGAAGGATCTAGGTCAAAGGTTACTGATGGCCCTCTATACAGTCCCAGGGTACCATCAAAAACATCAGCAAATTTAACATACAGAGAATTCAATTTATTTGCATTGAACTGGTTAATTCCACTTATAGCAATTCCGAGGGCCTCAAACCAGTCCAAACCCAAAAGACTGGCTTGGCGCCCCTCGGCAATAAGGAGACTCAGGGACTCCCTGAACCCTTTGAATTGTATCTCAAACATGGCTTTACCTGCCACAGGAATGTGCCTTCCCTGAAAATCGGATAGGTGGATTGTGCTCGGCTTCAAACGCCGACGGCTCCATTGTGGGAACAAGCTTTGCAAGGTTTCCGATGAAATGACAGTTACTGATGATCCCGAGTCGACCTCCATTTCGCACGGTATGCCATTCAGCAAAACAGTGACGTGGATCTTCTTCTTTGCTCGTGATCAGGTCCTCAGGATGGTTGACAGGCAGGACCAGCAGTTGGTCAGATGGCAATCTGTAGACCTTGCATTGTCCTCGCCTCAAACCCGGGGGCTTGCACGAGGAGACAATGGTGGTGTCTTTTTCCTCTTGGCCCTGCAAACACTGGCCAAATGGCCTCGCTTGTCACAGGATCGGCAAACGATGTCCTTCGCCCAGCATCGATCCCGCTCGTGATCTCCGCCTTGGCGCAGTTTTCACTTCGGTCCGCTTGGGCCTCAGAGTACGAGGTTTTGACGTACTTCTTGTGTTGCTTTATCAGCGGCCTCGGCGGCGACAGCCTCCGAGTAGGGCACGGCATAGGTGAGAGCCGTCCGTGTGACTAATCGTTGCTGCATCTTCTCGTCCCTTATGCCACAGACGAGTCGGTCGAGGAGTGCTTCCTCAAGGTCGGTGAAATTGCACGGGTGTGCAGCCTTCCGCAAGGCTGACACGTATTTGGCAGCCGTCTCATTCACTGCCTGGGACCGCTTGTAGAATGCGTGCCGGCTAGCTAGCTGCGAAAGTTGTGGTGCGAAATGCCCCTTCAATTTCAACTTAAGGTCGGCCAAAGACACGGTTTTGATTTCAGCCGGAGCGACCAGGGAGCGAGTGACGTCAAAGACAGCCCTTCCACAGGAGCTGAGGAGCATCGCCTTCTGCTGATCCTCATCCTCGATCTGGTTAGCCTGGAGGTGGAACTCGAACCTAGCAAGGTAGGAATCCCAGTCCTCGAGGTCTGGTTCGAATGGTTCGAACTGCGGGTTGACGGCCATCACTGCTCTGGGTGCAGGCACTGGCACCAGTGCTACAGCCGCTTGATCAGCCGAGTCTCGTTCTTCTGCCCTGAGTTCCTCAGGGGCTTCTTAGTCGTCTGCC